GGGTCTACAGGGTGTTTGGGGTCTCACTACTAGATGGGACTCAAAGTGATCCACCTGTTTACAGCCTCACAAGAGCTGAGATTATTGGTACTTGCCACCATGCCCAGTCTCAATTGTTGTCTCAGCACATCCCGGGGTCGGGGCCGGCACAGCAGTCCCATGATTGAATCCCCAGCCCCCGCGCCTGCTTGCAGGTGCTTTAATCCGCTGAGCTATTTGGCTGGCCCTGGACTCTCCAAGAATTTTAAAGAATTATGGGCATGAGAAGGCTAAGAGAAGAGCAGCCATTTCACCTGGATGACCTCTGAATTACCTTTATCACCCTGAACTTGCCCAGGGGCTTAGACTTTCAGAGAAAAGTTCGCTCAGTGTGAAGTCTTCTAGATGCTCCTTGAAATTGACTTGGTAGTAAAGAATCTACCAGTTAAGTAAAAACCTAGGGCTTGTTGGACTCACTACTGAATTCCATAAAACCTTTAAGAATGTCATACGACTAGTACTCCTGAAGCTCTTCAAAACCATGGAAAAGGATGGAATACTCCCAAATTCATCACAGAAATCAGTATCACCCAAACCAGATAAAGATGCAAATTAAAAAGAGGACTGTTTGCCAATCTCCTTAATGAACATACAGCAAAATCCCTCAATAAGATATTAGCAAATAGGGCCAGTGAGACAGCTCAGCAGACTAAGCTCCTGCTTTGGCAAGCACAGCCCTGCCCCCATGTTGTGCCAAGCTGGTGAACAAGTCCAGGCGTGGTGGTGCACCCTGTAATCCCAGCACTGGGGAGGCTGAAAATAGTAGGATCACTACGGGTCTGAGCAGTGCAGTGAGACCTTGTACCAAAATACAGAAAACATACAATCAAACAAACAAATGATATTAGCAAATAGAGTGCATCACGTCATCAGAAAGATCACACGTCTTGATCGAGTAGGATTGATCCTGGAGTTGCAAGGATGGGTCACCCTGTGTAAGTCAATAAATATAACACATCACAAAACAAGAACAAGCTCCAAAAAAAAGCGATCATATCAATAGATGCAAAAATGGCTTACCACAAAACCCAATACCTCTTCATGTCAAAAACCTTAAAGAAAATAGGTCGAGAAGGACCACTCCTGAAAAAATGATAAAAGGTATAGATGTCAAATCAATAGATAGGCTCACACTAAGTTGGCAAAAATTAAAGTCTTCCCCCTAAAATCAAGAACAAGATGAGTAATGAGGAGGATATTATGAAAACAATGCCAGTCACAGCAGCTTCAAGAAAAATGAACTAGCTAGGAATTAACCTATCCACAAAAATAAAAGACCTCTGTAAAGAAAACTACAGTTGCATTCTGAAAGCTACTGAAGAGGACATCAGAAAATGAAAAAATGGTCTGTGTTCCTGGATAGACAGAACTAATATCATCAAAATGAACTTATTCCCAAAATTCATGCAGATTCAATGTAGTTCCAATTGAAATACCAGCAGCATGCTTTATGTATCTAGGAAAAAGAACTGTAAAATTTATGCAGAGTCAAAAGAGATCTGGCTTTTCTTCTTCTAGCTCCAGGTGCTTTGCAGCCGTGGTTTACAGTGTAGTTATGGCCAAGTCCAAGAGCCACAACTCACACAACCAGTTCTGAAAATGGAACAGAAATGGCATCAAGAAACCTCAGTCACAAAGATACCCCCTCTGCAGGGGGTAGATCCCAAGTTCCTTAAGAACATGCATTTCACCAAGAAGCACAATAAGAAGGGCTTCAAGAAGATGCAAGCAAATGATGCCAAGGCCATGTGTGCATGTGCCAAGGCTATCAAAGCCCTGGTCAAGCCCAAGACCCTCCCAAAGGGAGTAAACCGCAGGCTTGCTAGACTTGCCTATATTGCCCACCCCAAGCTTGGGAAGAGTATCTGTGCCCGCACTGCCAAGGGGCACAGGCCTTGCTGGCCAAAGGCCCAGGCTCCAGCCAAGGCCCAGGCTCCAGCTTCTGCTCCAGCACAGGCTCCCAAAGGTGCCCAGGTCCCTTGAAGGCTGCACAGTAACAGCCTCTTTTCTGCTGATGTAAAAACAGAAGGACTGGTGTGACCCCGGGGGTGTCATTTGTGGGGAGCTGGTGTCCTCCTGTGCTCTTTGTACAAATAAACCTCAGGCAGGAAAAAAAAAAAAAAAGAAGAGATCCAGAAAAACAAAAGAAATGCTGGGCAATAATCAAAAGCAGGAGGCTCAGCAGTACCTGACTTTAAGCAGTACTACAAGGCAACAGTGATAACAGTGACATGATCCTGGAACAAAAAAGACATGTGGGTCACTGGAACAGAACTGAGGATACGGACAGCTCCCCAGACATGCTAAAGTGGTTGGTCTTTGACCAGGAGCCAGAAGCACATTTTGGAGGAAAGATAGCCAATTTAACAAGTGATCCTGGGAAAACTGGTTAACTGTTTGCAGAAGACCAAAGCTGGACCTTTATCTCTCATATGTAGTAAGATTTAAAAAAATAGATTAAAGATCTAAATAATAAAACAAATACTAAACCTGCTCTAGGTTAAAATAGGTAAGCCACTTGACATGGGGATAGGGAAGGATTTTATAGACAGAAGCTCAATCACAAAAGAAATAGAAGCAAGAGTCAACAAATGTATTTGCATGACAAAATACTTCTGCACAGCAAATGCATCAGGCAGTACAGTGAAGAGACAACCTAAAAAACTAAAAAGCATTCTTTTGCCAGCTACTCTTTAAATAGAGGAGTCTACCTAGAAAGAAAATTAAACCACCTAAAATTAAAAACTAAGTCAAGAAATGGGCATGAGAAATAAACACATGCAGAGGAAAAGCATACAAATGGCCAACAAATATACGAGAAAATGTTCAACATCTCTGGCCATTAGGGAAATACAAAGGACAACTCTAAGATTCCCCAGAAAGAATGGCAATCATTAAGAAATCAAACATTGTGGCTAGGGAGAGATCTCAGCTGTCCAAGTACCTGCCTGGCAAACACAAGGTCCCAGGTTCGATCCCAGGTATGGTGCACTGTGCTGGCTCTGAAACCCCGGATGTGCCATGCCAGCTACCAAAACCAAGGAAGGTGGCACGTGCCTGTAATCCCAGCACTGGTGAAGCTGAAACAGGATGATCACTATGTAGTCTGAGCTATGTAGCGAGACCCTGTACCAAATAAATAAACAAAATGACTTAAAAAATTTTTAAAGAAATCAGACACTATGAAACGGTGGCATGGCTGTTGTAGAAAAGGAAGCCTGCTGCACTGTTTGTGGAGTTGCCAGCCAGTGCAACCATTATGGAAATCAGTCTGGGGATTTCTCAAAGAACTGAAATAAATTCCATATAACCCAATTATCTCACTACCAGATACCTTCTCCCCAGAACCTTGAATCATCATATGATAGCAATAAATGCACACCAATGTTTACAGCAGCACAATTTTTTTTTTTTTTTGTTCCGGGGATTGAACTCAAGACCTTGCACTTGGGGCTGGAGAGATGGCTCAGTGGTCTAAAGCACCTACTTGGAACAAGCTTGGCAAAGCACAGGGACCGCGGTTCAATCCTCCAGCACCACATGCCAGCCAGCCGCGCCCCCTGGTGGGCTGAGCTGGCCATACACACACACACACACACACACACACACACACACACACACACACACACACAAAATAAATGTTAAAATAAAAAAAAAAAATTAAAAAAGACCTTGCACTTGCCAGGCAAGCACTTATTCTACTGAGCTATCTCCCTGGCCCTAAGTAGCACAATGTGTAATAGCTAAATCCTGGAAGCTACCTATATAACCATTAGCAGATGATTGGGTAAAGAAAATGTAACAACTCTATTAATGGATACTAATCAATTATAAGAAATGAGAAATTTGTAGGAAAATAGAATTAGAATGCTGAGTGAACTAGATCAGACACCCAAGCTTAAATAATGTATGGTATATCTCACATTGGTGTGAGACAAGCTACAAGTAAAGAAAATTATAAATGATGAAAGGAAAAGCACAAAGGGATGGATTTTGTGTAATGAGGAAGCAGTCAAAGGGAACAAGAATAAGCGGTGAGCTTGGGCGCCTCGACTCCCAGCCTCTCCTGCAGACTCTAACTCGCTGCTCCTCCCAGCAAGGAGCTGGGAGAGGAGGCCGCCGCACTCACGCTGACAGCGCACAGTGCATCAGTGAAGAGAAGGGGGGGGTTCCACCTGAGGAACAAGAGGGCAGAGGGGAGGACAGGAAAAAAATGGGGGCAGGGCGGATAAAGAACGGCCTCTGCTCAGGGGCAGACACCCTCCTCCCTCCGTCCCTGTACGCTCGGTGTGCATGAGTCTCCCAGCTTGGTCTCTGTGTCTCTTCCTCTTTCTCCCTATCTCTGGGCCCGTTCCATTTGCTGCTCATCTCTGTCTCTGCCTCTCTGCTATGTCCCTCTGTCCCCCTCATGTGCAGCGCATACACACACACACACACATACACACACACACACACACACACACACACACTCACCCTCTCTCAGTGCCTCTCAATCTTCTGTTTCTGACAGATACAAGGCACGTGTCAAGCACCAGGCAAGCGCAGCCCATGAGGAGCCTTCTTCCTACCTCAGGTCTCAAATCCCTACAAGCCGCTCTGTTTTGAGAAAGGCTTCGTGGGACACTGGGAAGCTGCAGTCTTATGTACAAAAGTCCGAATGGCAAGGCCTGCTCTGCCTGTGTGCAGTTGTGTGTTCTTCAGTGAGCGAGTCATTCCTCTGTGTATCTCAGTTTCCTCATCTATATGATTAGGATGGAGTGCTTAGTTTGGAGGACAGGTGGCCCTGCAATACCTGTGACAGTACCGCAGGATGACCTGCTCTGGCCAGCCTAGGAGCCTCTGCCAGCCCCTGCCTGGCCATGGAATGCTTTAGTGGGCTGGAATGAAGGTTAGGCCTGTGGCTGTGATGTCACAAAGCACAAGAACTCCAAGCTTTGATGGAGGAGAAGAGACAAAAAACGGCTCTGGGTAGGGATAAGAGCTGGGACACAGAAGGGACAGGAGCCTGCTGGGGCCTGGAATTAGAGGCAGAGGCCTCAGTGGGCAGCCCCATGACTTCCTTGGGCTCCCAGCCCTGCAGGGCAACCTTCCTGACAGCCACTGTGATGGTACTGCTGCTGCTGTGGGTGAAGCTGGTGAGGTCTCAGCAGGGCAGCCCAGGCCCAGTGCAGAGGAGCCTGGTAGAGAAGACGCCCCCTGCAGGTAGGTGGGGAAGCAAGAGGCAGGTGTGGAGGAAAGGGCTGGACCTGCTTGAGGTCAGGCCCCAGGCAGCTGACCAGGGCAGGGTGACTCTCAGGTGGCTTTGGGTTATGGCAGAGGACGCCAGGCCCTGTAATCACAGGTGAGCACCGTGTTTGTCCAGGAAGAGGGCTGTGGTTCCCGGTGCACTGGAAGGTGGGGTCACACGTGGGAGGAGGCAGCGCTGTATGTGTGTGTGGAGGGTGTTTGTGTCAGGCTGTGCTTGAGCCCAGGTTGGAAAAGACCTCTGGAGAGAGCAGCGCCTCTCTGCTCATAGCCAAGGATGTGGGAGCGGGCCGAATGCCCTGGGCCTCCCGCACCCTGACTTCTCATCTTGGTTCAAGGCCAAGGTGGGAACAGACTGATCTGGCCTGCCCCCTCTGCCCTTCTCTGTCCTCTCTCTGTCCCCTCTGCCCTTCTCTGCCCCTCTCTGCCCCTTCTCCCCTATTTTGCTCCCCCTCTTCCCATCTCTCCCATTCCAGAGCAGGGCCAGGAGCAGTATGAGGAACACTTCATGGCCTCCTCAGTGGGGGAGAAGTGGCAGGAGGTGGACATGGTCCGACAAGAGGAGGACTTCACGTCTGAGACAGCTGCTGTCCAAGACCACCTCTTCAGCCTTGCTCTCTGCTTTAACCTGGCCAGCATCATGGTTTTTTTATGAGGGACATTGAGGCGGAGGCGTTGGTCTGGCTCCTGGAGGAGGAAGACCTGGGCTTTTACCTTCGCTTCCTGACCGCGTCCTGACCTCCCCTCTGCACGGGGCTGCAGGCCACAGCTGCCCACCAGGATGCCCAGGCTGCGGCAGCACACTGCTCCCTGCTCCTGTCAGCAGCTCCCGGCCTTAGGGTGCAGCCTCAGGGGTTTTACCACCTCAGCCTCTTCCTGATGCCACCTACGCCCAAAGCTTTGTGTTCTAGGTCCAGAGATGTCAGACCCACGCCTTCTCCCTCCTGTACCTCCTGGGGTTCGGCCAGTAGAGCAGATTGCAGTGAGAAGAACTGACAATAAAATACAATAAAATCTTGAAATCAGTTGGGAGCAGCCTCCTGAGACTTACCCGGCCCTCATGTCTCTAACTGCCTGATTGACTGTGCAGCCCTTGAGCCTGTAGCTGACCTTCACACCCACGAGAGCCCCAGTTGTGGGCTCCTTCCCAGTCTAATCTCCAGCAAGCAGTTCTTGGCATTTCTCCCTCACTTTTTCTGACTTCTAGGAATTTCTAGGAGCTTCTACCATGTGAGCCATTAGGAGCTGAAAGAAGCCACGTGGCAAGTGGCAAGTGTTATTTTCCAAGACAGACAGATGAGGGAGGGCTGTTATCTGTGTTGGGCTCTTTGCATTTCCATGACGGACATGGCCGCATCTGGCGGGTTGCTGGGGCACCCCGGGAGCAGCAGCTATGTGTGGCTGAGCTGTGGGGCTGCTGAGATGCCCTGGATTAGGAGGCTGCTGGGGTGGAGTCGAGGGTCCAGAGGGCTTGGGGGATGAGCTTCAGACACATCGCTTGAGGAAGAAAAGAGTACAAGGAGGGTGAGGGGCAAAGCAGGTGTCTCCAGGTCATTAGGACAAGGCCCGCTTGGGGACAGGGGACTGCAGGGGTGTGCATGAAGGGAGGGGCAGGGTAGAGCGCTCAGGGCTTGCACAGCTTTCCCTGTGCAGATCACTTAGCACAGCGCTGGCATGAGGCCCGGCCCCGGGCTGCGGAATAAAAGCAGGTATGAGACAGGACGGTGGGTCTGATGGAGGCCTCTGCGAAGGTGTCTCGAGGGTGTGAGGGAGCTCGGCACTGCTCACGCAGGGGAGCAGGGAGACAGAAGTAGGCCACGTCAGGGTGAATGAGCCCTGTGTGAGGAGGAAGGAGTGCGCAGTCGGTTGGTTAGTTACTGTCACACTCTTGGGATCTCGATTCTTAGGCCCTGAGAGAGGGAGAAACACGAACTTATGCGGAAGTGGTTCTTCTTATTTTCTGCTTTTGCGGGAAGTTTTCAATCTGGTTGAGGAATTTCCAATAACCTGCAGGACATGCTCAGGGCATCACTGGGGAAAGAGGACAGTGGGGACGTCCAGGGCAGCACTGGGGGACTGAGGGGACTTGGGGAGCGTAAGGGAGGAACGTTCTCAGAGCGCTAGACATCAGGAGCTTCTCTGAGAAGCCAGCTGAGGGAGGAGGGCGCAGCTGCCTGCTTGGACGCAGCTTCGGAAGAAGAGCTGGGCGAGCTGAGGCGCTGGTCGGGCAGCCTGCCTCCCCATGCTACGGTAGCAGCCGCTCACTGTATGCCTGCGTGGAATATGAGGCTGCACGAGGCTTCACAGTCACAGTCAGGGTCATTTGGAAGTCCAAG